CTCTCAATTAATAAACGTAAGAGAAAATGTACTTTAATGTTCTTGTACTAATATTGTTTAGTGTTTATTACACTGGAATTCACGCAATGTGTATACTTCAGACTAAAAATAGTATGCAAAATATGTGCTACCAACAATAAGTTATCAAAAACGTTGATGTAACGTAGCACTTTTCACTTGAAAGGATACATTCGTTTCATCCATTTACTTATGGAAGAAAAGAGTTTATGTTCTATATTATGTATTTTTCTTACTGGATGTTACTCCAAAACAGTTTTCATAACAGTACATACAAAACGTGTGCCTGAACATAGGGAAAGGCTTCTAAAATAACTTATGAGGGAAAAGAAGGCTTCTCTGAAAACAAAGAGAAAAACATTTTTGTGCCCCAAAGAGATTCAAAGCGAAAGCAATCTAAATGTAAGTGACAGAACAATTCGACGCATACTAGTGAACAAAGAAAAGTATTATCAAAGTTCAAGGAAAGTTTCTTTTTTAAAAGAAAAATTCTTATCGAAAAGCGTATAAGTTTTACCAAATTGTACCATATCGAAAGCAATACTGAATAGTCGAAAACATAGTAGAGGGACGAAACAAACATAAATTTGCTTGGAAAGGATGGGAAACTATTTGTGATGTCAAGGCAAGAATATAATCCAAAATAAACAAGAGAAACTGTAGTAAATAGTGGTGGAAATGTTATTTGGTTGTTTCTCAGTGTATGGTGTGGCATAGTGATTTCACTCGTCAAGGTGTATATGGATGACTCAGCGAATTCAATGTTACAATGGGCAGACAATATGCAACTGAAGTAGCGTTGTCATGAACATAATGATCCGAAGAGTTCAGCTGGAGAGATGATGGAAAACAGGTTTGAGCGAAGAAGGTTGATGTTCTGCCATGATCCTCTTTATCAACAGACCTAACTCCGTTTGAGAAATTATGTTGTGAATTAAAGATAAAATGAAAGATCATCATCCATCAGATATGAAGAAACTCTGGATAACTTTGTAATACGCGTGATTTTTTATTATTTCTGAACAAAAGCCAAAATTAGCTGACTCCATGCAAACCCGGATTAGTACACCCGGAAAAAAAAAAAAAAAAAAGAGGTTTTTGCAGCTTAACAGGAATTCATAAGTTAAATGTTTGGTGAAAAATAAAGTTTCTGCTTCTAATATAGAGAGTTCCTATTTCTCTGTCCATTGAATTTTGGGGATAGTTCATATGAAAACGTCTCGATAATCGATGATGATACATACACGTTCAAAGAACTATATCACCAGGACGCAAACAATGCACACTAACAAGGAATCCATAAAATTAAAGAGACACTTTTCTTTCCCAAGAAATAAATAAGTAAATAAAAGGTAAAATGTGTTTCTATAGTTTGGTCGCATCTGCGTATAACAATAGAAAGGAAACAGAGGACGAAATTATGCAGAAAGGTACTGTTTCAATCGTCGTTCGTTTAACACTTTCCATTCCTTGTTGATAAAACATCCTTGAAGCACTTCAGAAGTTCCCTTCGCACATTTCTATAATTATATACATTTCGCCACTTTTAGTAAATTTATATTTTGTTTTATTCATATGAGCTTCGTGGTATTTTTCGTTGAATTAGTAGTTTTTATTAAATAAATTTTAACTATTGATATCTTTCTCTCTCATTATACTTCTATATATATGTAATGGCAGTGGACTGGTAAGAAAGCTGCAATGTTTCGTCTATTTGCATCTCATTCAGTACTGCGAACAAAAAACATCGAATTCGAACTATGCGTCAACGGGGGACGTTGTCCCATAGGTGACTCTCGATTCAGTCTTATCACTGATTTTCGCCGGGCCTAAATCTTGACCATACAAATCAACTACGAGCCTTTTAAAATTGAAAAAGAGGCCTGTATGGCAGCGAAGTTTTGATGGTCTGGGAAGCTATTTTGTTGGACAAGCACATAGACTTTTATGTCTTCTACATATGTTCTTTGACTACAGTGAAATACAGGGAGGAGGAGTTAAAGCCCTATGTTGGCTTTTCTAGTTTTATAGTTAGCCTTTGACATATGTTTATAGATGACAGTGTTCGTTCGCATCTGGTGAACGATTTTCTGAAAAGAGAATATTAACCGAAATACTAGAATCGCCAAAGTAGTTATTTTGACTGCTTTCATCATTTGACCTTGGATTCCTAAAAAAAAAACTTTTACTTTAAGAAGTCATAAATTTTTGAGTTTCCCTAAAAAACTTCGAAAATTATTGGTACCAAATATGAATCGAATAAAATTAAAATTAACGAAGATATTATTAGTTATACCTAAAAGAACCACGAGCAGTCAAATTGACTGCCAGTAATACTGTGCAGATTTATCTTGTTATCTCGTTCAAAAAACACTTTTTCTTCGAAAAACATTCCTTTCATTCACTGATTATTTACAACAGGATATACTCCCCTCCCGCTCAGAAAACACGTTTTTTCTTGGACTGTAACATCTATTTCATAAACTGCAGCTGGGAAATATCGAGCTCAAAATATGCTGAAAGCATTGCCTAGCCCAACATCTTATGCCCCCTCCCCCAAAAAAATTCTGGGACTATGTGTCGAGTGCTTGGAGATTGTTTACGGATGAATTGATGTTACATCATATTAAAAAGTGCACGGAAGCAGGGGAGTTTTGAACAATGAAGAATTTGGATAATATCTTTAGAAAAGCTTGATTTTTATTGCTATTATTTATGCAAGAGGAACATATGTTTGCAATGATAGGGATTATGATTTTTTGTGGAATAATACATGGGGTCCTCCTTTTTTTCGAGAAAGAATGTTTAGCAATCGTTTTCGACATATTATGAAATATCTAAGATTTGACTTGAAGTCAACTAGGACTCAGCGTTTAGAAAGTGGTAAGTTTGTTAATTTTTCAGATATTTGGAAATAATTTATACAAAACTGTGTAATTTCCTATAAGCCAGGAGAAAATCTAATAGTGGATGAGCAATTATTTCCATCCATCCAATGGTAAGTTTGTACGGTATATGCCGAATAAATCAGACAAATTCGGTATCAAATTTTAGATGCTAAGTAGTGAATATTCGACGTAGACTCTAAGTTTATGTGCAATGCTTTTCAATATCTTGGAAAAAATACATCGAAAAGTGAAACTAAAAGTCTTCCTGAAAATGTAGCAATGCGTCTTCTAAACCGTTATTTTAATTCAGGTAGAAATTTGACTGCAGACAATTATTTTTCCCTACTATCATTAGATAAAAGACTTGAAATGAAAAACATAAGTTTTGTGGGCACAGCAAGAAGACGTCGAAAATAAATTTGTCATGAAGTATGGAAATCAAAAACCCGGCTGTTTGAAATAGTTTTGCGAAGGAATGGTGAAACTACACTCACGATCTATCAGAGAAAAATTAGTAAAACTGTCCTACTACTAAGTACCTTGCATCCGAGTGCAAATATAGACTCACAAAATAAGAAGAAACTTCCAGAAACAGTACAGTTCTATAACAAAACCAAACGTGGAGTTAATATCCTTGACCAGATGAAGCGTAAATATTCTGTTCAGGCTGCTTCAGGTAGATGGCTTGTGCATGTTTTATATAATATGCTGGATTTAGCAGAAACTAATGCCTACGTTATCTACCATAAATTGAGTAATAAAGATAGTGCAAGGCACAACTTCTTATTTCAATTAGCAGAGGAGTTATGAGAGCTTCATTTAAACAGAAAAAAAGTACAAGATTGCCCCAAGAAATTTCCAAATTTATCAATAGACTCTCGAAGAAAAGACGTCAATGCCAGATTGGACTTCTTAACAACAAGAAAACAAGTGATGTGTGTAAAATATTTTCATATTATGTAGGTGGAAAATGCCTTCCCAGTATTGAAAATGTTGTGTTGTGTAAAAATTACGAAAAAGTATAAAATGAATTTTATCAAGGGTTAAGTTGAAATTCGTAATATATTTTTTATAAAAGTAATCTGTTGCTCTTTAAGGAAGTTCTTAAAAAACTGTAATTAACATTTTTAAAAGAATTATAAAGACATTTGCACTTTGCTTTATACATTTATTTCGCTGAGCAGTCAGTTTGACTGCTGTTGGGACTTCTAGGTAGGAAGGAAGCTCGGAGTTTCTAGTGTTAACCGAATGGATTAACATCTCCAAACTTAATTATTATATAAGATATCCTGGATACGTTTTGCAGCACAGTTGCAACCCGCCTTCCTTCCCAGAACCCTCCAGGACCTGAAAACAGCTTTGCTGCAGGAGAGGGAGCGACTGATACAGAGACTCTAAAATTACCTCATTTCCGATAGGATGTCATGTTGTCACAGACGATCCTGTCTACGTATGAGGATTGCTATGTGGTACATTGTTTGACATAATAAATAAATAAATCGACCAAATGGGAAAATTCTTTAACTTTTGAGCACTGGTGTGTAACTTTCAATAGTCCTTTGACATTCATTATTAGATAAGAGTTCGATTATAAACAAAGGATTGTTGTTTCAAAGAAAACGCACTATTACTAAAAAAATAGTATCATTCATAATGATATTAAAATAGATTCCATATATAAACATATTAAGAATGAAAGCATTCAGATTTAGGTTAACTCACTTAATTTTATTTTTATTCGCATGCAATAGATTTACACACGATAAGCACATTTGTATTATATACTTGCAATTATAATACATATTGTTACTTTGAATTATTATTTAAGATCTACCAATAATAAATAGATACATTTATCAGCCGTCTTAGGCTTCATATTTTCACGAGTTTCCAATTCTGCCCTTATATATAAATTTTATGTACCAGGTTATTGGATTGTAAAATTGAAATTCTCTGAAATTTCAGTGAAGGATACTGCATTGCATTACTGATACTACTAATAAGTCTACAGTAAAACCTAAATACGATTCTCTATCTGATTTGAGAGAATTTCCTGTATGTAATTATAATATGATTTATGTTAACATCGACTTATTGTAATACTATTAAAGTCCAAAAAACTGCATTCATCCTTTTTCTTTAAGAAACATGCAGAACACAGTGATTTATAACAGGTTTATTTGTAATTAAATTTCTTATATACATCATAAATAATGACAGTAGAAACGGCCAGCATACATATCTGTTTCTTTCAAACAGTTCATATATATATATATCAGTTCTTGCCAAACACTTTTGTTATAATAGCAAACTGCAATAGACCATTCTTTCAAATGCATTAAACAGGAAAAACACGTAAACAAAGTGTTACACATTTACTTGTTCAAACATATATCACATTTCATTGAAGCGGCGTTTATTATTATAAACTTATTTTTTCTGAGATCATTATATATAAGTCAGTAGATAACACAATTTATTTATTTTTTCCTTATCTCGTAATTCGGTATTAATGTGTTTACATTGACTGTAAAGATATATTGTCTTTCACGTACTTTCTTTGGCTGTAAGATGTATTTTTTGGGGGGACATATTTAAACTCGCTGAAAAGAGAGTTTTTATATTACATGGCTGACAGATACATTATATCTCTTCTACCCTTTTCTTCTCTAGAAACAAGAGGTTCATGCTCTTCAACTGATATTACTGATCTGAAAATGTGTTTAATTTCACTTGATTTAATGTGAATTTTAAGGAAAAAGTGTACAATACTTTTGGCATAATAATGAACTATTATAGCAATTTATAATGCTATATCTCATTTGCTATTTTAAAGAAAATCTGCCTTTTACTTTTCTGTATAATTAAGTTTTAATAAATTAAAATATGCTAATTTATTAGTAGTTAGTATTTTACTTATCTTTAATTGAAGGAAATCTTTATTTTGAAACTGAATAAGATGTAGGTGATAACCTTTGGAGAATATTATTTTATTCACAAAACTGTTTTAAATTAGTCAGGTTTACGGAAAATTATACTGATGCAAAATTTCGATGTTAAACCTTACCCATCAATCATCACCAGCCAATAAGTGTATAAGATCATTGAGCACTGGTAATTTGAAATACCATTCGAATCGCAGGAACAGATTTCCTCTAAAATATTTTTAATGTGTTCTTGATGTGTAACATAAATACAGGCGGTTAAATTCAAATACGTACTCTCAAAATAAATAATATTAAATACGTTTGCTTAATTAACTTACTAGTTATTAAACAAAGGCCAAACACAAGGCCAAAGTACTTAAAAACTTTTAGCTGAGAAGTAGCTTTTGCAGTTGATATCATTCAAACCAAGAACAGTTAGATTATTATTATTATTATTCGGAAAATTGCACTTCTAAATACCTAATTATAATAAGTCATAACATGTTAGTTCATTATAATTTCGTTTCAGAGAAATTTTGAGTGCTTATTTATAAGCAGCAAATAAAAATTATAAAATATTCATTACTAAGCAATCTTTGTATTTTTATACTTCTAGAAGAGTAGCATGCTTGCTTTACTTTAAAAAAGTAGAAAAAAGTACTTTCACTTAACTTAGAGTGCCATAAATAAGAAAGCTGACGTCTTATCTCGACTTAAAGGTTTTTAAAAAAATGAATGTTTTTTAGTGTGCTTGGCTTTGCGGGTCATTAAGAATTCACCAAGCAATATCTCAAGAAAGAATTCCGTGAAAATCTTTTTAATATGGTTAATTCGAAAATGTTTTTATGCTGTAATTTCATGATTCTAGTAATTAAGTTAATTTTCAGCGTCGGGAAATAATAAGTTAAATTGATAAAAAGATAATACTTCCAAGCACACTTAAAAAAAGTAGGCAACATTCATGTTTGCTCCTTTGACAGTTTGGAAATGTTCTAGTAAATTATTCAATTAAATTATCAAAAATAAAGATAAGGAATAGCAAATACTGTTGCTGGAAAATATTTTATTTACGAGACTGGAGTATAATTTGCTTTTTAGACCGAATTGCTTTTAACAATTTTATGAAAAACACTGAACTGTTCAAAAATGTTTTTGACATAGAATTTTTAGTATAATCCCAGATTTAAATCTTTCACTTAAGATTACAAATCATTTTAACATTGGTATATATTATTCGTATGTGATAACTGTTAACTTTTATGATTCAGATTCTTCTCATCAGTATTTTAAATAATTGCATTTTGCCCAATGCGATATATATTGCAATTAAAGAAATATTTCATGCTATTTTTTTGAAAAAATCATAACCTAACCATTTTAAATTGAAAGGAAAGATAGGATAGACGCAAAAATATCAATTTACTATGTTAGCTGTCGAAAGAATTTTGATAATCAGACAAATAACTGCTAATTCATTTCATATATTATGTCGCACATCAGTGAACTGTTCACAGTTTAGTGCAAGCAATATTCGAATTAGCTTCCTGTATTATTTATTTTTAACAAACGTTTAAACATTCATACTTTAACATACATGTCTGCGTAAGTTAGATTTTTGATAAATTCATTTTTTTTGGAAACCTGAATGCATCTTTCTGTTATGATAGCTCCTATGAGTATTTTTTCAGCTTACAACATTAGCATTAATTTCATAAGTATGATATCTGTAATTTATATTTTATTGATGCAAACAATCTGAAACGCCGTTGAGTAGCAGTAGAATGAAATTTCAAAAAGCTTAGGTGAATGAATATTCTTAAAAATATGCACAAAGTGTGGTATGCAAATTAAAACCAGTCTCGATTTCTCATTATATTTAATAAAAAAAAGATTCCCTTTTATTTCTGAGAACAGCCTGTAAAGCATTTCAAAAGCTGATGTTGAAATTACTAAGCAAATAAAAGCGAAATGTTGTGATTCCTTTTGCTAAATGAGTGGAACATGGCGACCATCTGTCGGAACTTTCTCCATCAAAGGAACTATTATCGAAGATCTAACTGTGCCATCTGTACGATTGATCCGCCATTCTTTAGAGGTATCTAGTTTTATCCCTCGTCTGCTTTTCAATCTGATTGACTTTTTCTTCGTTTGGTCGCCATTTTTATCGAGTTCTTTTTTTCCCCTCTTTTTCTTTCTCTCTCATTTCGGGCTAGTATTCACTCCACCCGAATCCAATAGAATCTGAAGTTTTCAATTCAAGTCTTAAAAGTGGAAGGACTGTGGTTCAAACTGGCGTAGATAATCGTAGTCCTTCTTTCCTGTGATCTGTCCACTGCTGCTCGAAAGTAAAAGTAAGAATGAGGACAAGTTACGAATTTAAAAAATTGGAATACAAATAATCATTTTGAGTTAACATTTTAAAGTAAAATAGAATGCACGATATTAAGGTAAAATATGACTGAAAGCACATGAAAACAAGCAAAATTAATGTAACTGAAAGCATGCTAATTATTAAAAACATGCACAAGATGACATGAATGTTAATGCTGGACCAGAATAATTACATAATTATTTTTTGTAAAGGCATACACATTTCTGTTGTTTAAATATATAAACATCAGGACATTATGGATACAAAAAATGCATGTAAATTATTATTAACAAGTCTCGTGCAAAACCTTAAATACAGTTATCTTTTTCTTTTGAGAGAAATTTCCTAATATGTAAATATAATATTATTTATGTTAATATCATTAATGTCCAAAAACTACATTCATTTTTTTTCTGCATTTTCTTATATATATCATAAATAATTATGTACAAAAAGTATAAAAATCAAAGTTTTTATCTCAAAATAATCAAGGAATTAATAGAATTTAATAGAGTTTAGGAATATTTATCTTTCATATACAGTCTCCAGTACTGTAATGCAGAAGCTGAGATAGTACATATAACACATATTATATACTATGATATATATAATCTTTTCTGGAATTAAAAGCTCGTTAGATGCTATTTTATTCGTTTGAAATATTGAAAAATGTATTAAAACTAATATATTATCTGTTGAAAAATGAACAGTTTGGCATAATAAAAACTATAAATAATTAAAATTTTGCAGCTGAATCATGAGGGACACTATGTCGATCATGATGCACCTGCAAAATTTTAATTTCATATATTTTTATGGTCAATATTTTTTATTCGCAATTAGATTAGGACGGCATTCTTCGGAATGTTCAATCGCCGATAAGTATATTTTTGAACTAGTGCAAATTATGTGCTTGCATTGCTCCGAATCTTAAGGTCACGTCAGTTTTGGGATTTTCTGAGCAAGAGATTGTAACTGATGTAATACGTTACGATCCAATATTTCAACTAGCACGTGAAGCACTGCAATTTTCAATTGGTCTGTCATAACAATAAGTCTTTGACAGTGTTAGACTAGTTGCAATAAAACATGAAATCTGCGAAATTTTCATCTTTATTTGTGCTAATTTTTCGTTGAATTCTTTTTTACTCTCAAATTACACAATATTATTTCCTTCAAGCATTTAATAATACGGGTGTCTATTAACTCTTAGATTTCTATTATTTCTCGTTTTGTAAGTTCCGATTTCTAACAAAATTTCAGATGAGAAAGTAACCTTTAAAATATTAGATATTTTAAGTTGAATTTATTTAGATGTAAAAAATATAAATAATATTTTCTAATTCTAGCTGTAATTAAAAATATGCTGATATTAGTTAAAATATTGTATTAAGCAAAATAAAGTTTTAAAATAAAACATCTGGAGATCACATTTTAACGCTTTTAAATTTCAGAGTACCATCAAGAAATAAAGGCTAAATAGTTACTATTTCGAACCTACATTTGTACATTATTTTAAAATAAAATCCTTGTGGTTTTTAAAATTGAAGTATGCGTATTTTTGCGAAAAATATTTCACTAGTTCATTATTTACCTGTCAATGTAGTTCGTGTGGTCTTGAATCCTGATGTTTTTAAAATTGCAAACACTTTTAATAGCATTTTTTTAACCGAAAAATGCTTTTTTAAAATTTGGATTTGAAGAAAATGCTGCTTTGCTTTAGAAAACGAATGATCAAGTTATTGTTAAATGCAAGTCCAATTTATTATATTGTTTTATTAACACAATTTATTAACCTTTACCTTATTATTTTTATCTGTACTACCACCCTCTTTTTCCAGGCTCCCGCCAAGATGCAAACTAGTTAACATCCTGAATAACACCGTTTACGAAATTTAGTAATGGCATTTAGCAGCGACTAGTAACTGTGCTGAAATATTTTCACGCAACTCATAAATTTAAGAATTCGCCTTGCTAGTCGTGCTGTTCAAGTTATTCGAGCGATCTGAGCCAAGACTTAGAGTATGACCCGACCTGTGAATTACATGTTGTCAAACAAATTGTATCAGTTAAAAAAGATTACAAAATTTGCAAAAACAAAAAAGTGAAAACACCTGCTAAAATTGCAGAAATACCTAAAACAAAGAAGCTAGAGAAAATTCTGGAGCAAAGTCCAAAATGAGTAGAAATGAGCTTCTGTACAGAAGGAACTTGGTAATGAAGGAGAAAGTAAGTTATGCTAAAAACTTCGACCTAGAAAATGTATCTACTAATACCAATGCAGAAGAAATCAAAATTTTGTTTTCTGATATTATAGATGCTCTTGTTCCAAAAGAAGATGCACAGAAAGGGAAAGTATTTATTGCATGTTTACAATTTAATAATGAAGCAAAAGCAGAGGAAAATTACAAGATATTTCAGAAAAAAAAAAAAATAAATCAGTGACAGTTTGGCTTCCAGAGGAAGAAACCTCAGTTTTGCTCAGAACTAATATATATAATCATTACGACCTGATATATTATGTTACGACCGAAGTCTCTAGGACCTTATCGTGTCGTGAAGCCCAATGACTGAGATGGCGTTGTGAAGACTAGCAATCATAAGGGCTCTAACGTAATTTTGATTCAGGTGATTGTAAGAAGCCCAGGCCTGCAAGCTGGCAACAGACAGATTCTGCTTTCATTAACTACAAATATATTTTTTTTTCTTTTTCCCCCATCTTCTCATTCTTGTTTTCAGGTAAAATAAAGCACCTGACAAAATCGTTCCATGTTCCTGTTACATGAATAGTGATCATAATTTACATTTCTGTTATGAAGTCGGTTTGATGATTATGAACTAAATTTGCACTAGATGATGATAATATGGATGATTATGATGGGAATGACAGCGAAAGTGTTTAAACAAAGAATGTTTTGAAGAGGGGGAAAACCAACAGATGAGCCGGAAGTGTAGGTTAGGTTATTTAACAATGCGAAGCCAAGAAAGCTATCAATTTAAGACAAGAGATGCTTTCGTGGACGACATTCTAAGAGAAACTAGCTCGTACTCACGTTACACATAGAGAAAAACTGCGAAAATCAACCATGAAGCCAGAATATTCTGAGTTCGAACACAAGCTAAGTCGAGCTACCAGTATTCAGTAGTCTCAACCACTCTACAACTGATCGGTCAGGTTAGCCGAAAATGTGGAAAAATCGAATATGTAACTAATTATCTTCCAATAAACAATAAAACTGCCTATTTTTCAAGAGTGCGCTTTTTAAATAGGGCACAACGATAGTTCAGAATTCAAAAGATTGTATCTTTACTGTATGAAAGTACTTATTGCACGAAAGTTGTATTAGTTCATATAATTTGAATATATATATTCAAATATAATATCAGCACATAACACACATTCATCTCTCTCTCTCTCTCTCTCTATATATATATATATATATTCTAAAATCGCACATGAAAAGAATTATTTTATAGCAAGGAGAGAAATGACAAAGTTAAGTCTAAATTTAAGAAACATTGATGAGTCCGTAACATTCCAAAAGGAATGAAAGGGGAACAAAGATGAAAATTATCCAAAAGGAAAACATACAGTGGAAGTGAGAGTTCTTTAAAAATATGTGAAACTATGAAAGTCAAACTGAATAATAATGAAGACAAACAAATTTTAAAGAAATTAAGCAAATTTTAATTGACATAGAATTTAGGAAAAACTGTATCTGAGATTAATGTTCGAATTTCACCAAAAGAGTATTAAAACTAGTTATGTACACAGATTTCGGTTAAAAAAAGGCAGTTATGAATTATGAACAGTTAACACATGGTTAAAAGAATGCATATTGAAGAATAAACAACAAGAACTTACAGAATCAAAATCATAAATATTTAATTAGAACAACTGAAAAAAAAAGATGCAAAATTTTATGCACTGATGCAATTTATAATCATATTATTACGAAATGTACAGGAGCGGGGATATAACTTCCCCGCAAATCAGTTTTAGAGTTCCCATAAAATAGCAAGGAGAGGCAGGGTTGCCACATTTGGCGAGAAATATCCATTTGGCGAATTTTGGCGACACAATTGGCGATATGCCATGGACGGATGGAGAACCTTCTGGAATGAATTCTTACCGATTTAGCTCAGAATGTTCTCGAACACAAGCCGAAAGCTATATAAACCCTGCTGGTACGCGGAGAGTTAGTATCGAGTGTGTGTCTCGTCTAGAGAGTCAGTCCGTGCGGAGTCGATCGAGTTGACAGTCCGGCAGCGAGTGCCGAGAGGGTCGTCGAGTGCATCAAAAGAGTCTCTTCGTATATCGCGGTTAGTGCATCGTCGACAGAGCGTGTTGAGCTCCGGGAACGACTGAACCGAAAAGTCGGGAGCTGTGCTCTGTGTGTCGTCGAATGCATCGCGAGTTGTAGCGTGGAGAGTCTCGAGATTACGTGGAGTTCCGAGAATGACCAAGCAGAGTCGGGAGCTGTACTCTGGTATTTTGCAGTGAAGCTGTCTCCACTATTATTGCCTGATAGTGTGAAGGCTGTGTCGCTGAGTTTCAGCGTGTTTATAGGAAATCTTCGACGACTGTAAAAAGTGATTTTGGAGCTGTCCTGATTAATATTGGCTAAATAAAGTGTGTTTCGATGTGTCAGAAAAGAAAATCACAGCAATATATTTTGCAGATGGCGAGACACCCAGAAATAAATCATGTAAAAATGAAAAGCGTTTTTTACCTGCACCGCCGTCGGTATGCTGGCAATAAGAGGAGTTTCTACAGTTATTCCACTTTCTTCTACTTCACCTTCAATCTCTTGAAGCAACCTCAATTTTTTTGGAGTCTGAAAACAGGTAAAATCATCCAAATTTACATATCGAACATGTAATAATATGATACTGTTATATATTTTAGGAGTAAAAATCATTTTCAATAATACAAAGCATATGCAAATCAGGAAGCATATGAAAGTTTCACCTTTTCGTCATCCATAGAACAACTGGTGCCCATTATTATCACGGAGAGTCTTAATTACTGAAATCTAACTTAAGAGCAGATCCGAAATAGAACCGATTTATTTATGGATTTTCATTTATCAAGTATGAGTTTACGTTAGTTGCAGTCAATGAGGATATGAAAATCAATTTAGTTTAATAAATTATTCGTTTTCCGTGTTTACATATTACGAAAAAACAAACATTTAGTTTCTATCATAGTCTCAAGAAATCATAACCTTATCTTTTGAAGCAAAACACGTGAAGGATGTTCAATATTTTATACGTTTCAAAAACTTTTTATTATTATCTTACGAATGGAATAAAAATTAATGATTGTTAACATTTAGCACATCTTACGTATTTCCTTTGCATTAATATCGCATCACTCAATGCATGTAAAGCTTCAATTATTATCATAGATATTTGCATATGATTCTATATTTTGATTTGATTGATTGACTAGAAGAAATTATTTAATTTATTAAATGTTCCTTTTTTACCAGAATTGCATCCCAGCTCTATGTTTCTTGTGAGTGTCTTAAAAGGTGAAATTTTGGGAATTCATAAAAGTTTTTTTTTATATAAAATTGTGCCTTACAATTGATTTTTTTCAACATTATAATTATATCGCAATTGATGTTTCTACATTTCTTGCTCTCTCTCTCTCTACACGCACACATACACACACACACCTATATATGTATAAGCTCTCTAATTAAATAAAACGGAAACATTATTTCAAATGTCTTACAATTTTGTAATAATTTTGATTAAAATTTTTAATACAGTCTTACTACACTTTTAACAAATCTTGGATGTATTTAAATTTCAATCAAGCCTTATGAAATTTAAGTCTTATGAAAGCCTGTGTAATTGAATTATTATTTTTAACGTTATAGATTATTTCATCTTCCAGGCTTTCTAATTTTACTTACATTAAAAACTACCACAGTTTCTTCCCCACATTTATTTCATTGATTTTTTTAATGCCAAAGCCACTCTTGGTTTGAGAAGAATAAAAAATACTTTAAGTAAAAAATAAGAAAAATAAAAATAAAAATAAGAAAAATAATCCTTGTTTCTATTGCTAGAAAAATGTTAGTTCTATTTCTAATAATTTTTAATATGTCGGAGTGAGCAGAAGCATTAAATATATGTTTGATTTGAAACAACTAAATTTTTTTCACCGTAAACGCATGTTAGGATTCAGTTAATTTTAAGAATTTTTCCTCTGTTTTTCGGATTCTAGTTAATTATTAAATTGCAATTCAAAGTTTGCGCATTTTTCTAAAATTTGAAAATATACAGACTCCCCTTGCACCATAGATGTACAACACGAGGCTTATAGAAGTAAGTTAGAATATAGTACCTACTCTTATTTAAGAAATTAGAATATTAATATAATACCTAAAATTATAAGTAAAGCTATTTGTAACTTTGCTATAATAAATAAATCTTAACTAAAACATTAAAAGTTGCATACATAAGTAAAACGAACAAAAGTAGAGTACAGCTGTCTGGACTTCACGAAAACATACGTTTACTGGCCAAGTCACTGCGAACATTTTCAAATCATCCTGCAAGCATAATCTATGCCCATCAAATGTAGGGCATGAGAAAATCAAATGTGCCACATCTTGAGGTATTCTTTTTGGACTTTAACATAAATTGTTTGATCTTAGATTAAAACGAAACAGGTGATTTGCAAATTTACCGTGACTAGATAAAAATTGAGACACTTTAAAATGAATAGAGAGGAAAGACTCGGAATTCTGTCTATGGCAAACAGAAGGAAAGAACCTTCTGGTGACCTCAGCGTTACAAAATGAAACATATTAAGTTTGCACATTAATTTTCATATTTTTTGTGCTCAATTAAAATTATGTAATTTTTTATTTATAAAATATGTAATTATATTTAATGTTCTCAATATGAAATTTTGGTTTCTTGATTGTGTTTTATCGCTATGTGATCTCATAGTTTTTTTTTCATTTATTCCAAATTTTTGTTTTTAGACACGTACCATAATTACAAAAAAATAAAAACAATTAAAGGATTCTTTATGTTACATTATTATTTTTATATTTGACTTTAATTTTGCTTAATAATACATTGTTTACTTAAATTTAAGCAAAATGCTTTTCGGGTTCCAGCCTACTGAGGGTGTGCTCAATTTAATTTATTTTTGATTAAAATTTATCTAAATATACAATTTTTAAATTGTACATTTGTTAGCTCAGTGCAGGCTATTCTTCTTTGATTTATCTGTTAATTTTGGAATTGCTGTCATTGAGGATTCATTTTGAACTATTACTTAAATTTTCCAAAGGATCTTCATTTTTGAAGTTTTCTTGACTTATGTCAATTGCTATAATAATTGTTTTCACTATTTTGCAGCTTTTCTACACTTTTTCTAATATTATAAAACAAGTTTATAATATTTTAATATGGTATTTGTATCTTCTCATAATTTTCAATTTAATATATAGTATTAATATCAACCGAACGCATAAAATAAACACGTTGTCGGAATTACTTGGAAAACAATACTGAAATGAAAGTAAATCCATGAAAAATAATTAAATATGAAATAATAATTAGTAAATAGTAGTTGATAATTTTTTTATTATTGTAGACAAAAAAAATTATTAAGAAAGCCGCGTTTCTGAATCACATTGAGGGTACTAATGACTGTTATTAAGATACAGAAAAAATTAATGAGCAGTAACATCCCTGTGAATAATTTGTTGAGTAGTGGTCGTTCTAGATGACTGAATGTTTCATAGAAGATTCATGCCTGCGTAGAGATATTGAGCTGAAGTCTTACTACCTAAATTTATGTTTTTCAAATGCGCGGGCGAATCTGACATTCATTTTCTGTGTAATTATGGTTGTCAACATAGAATAAATTTGAATTTCTTGAAACCAAAAGCAGTGAGCAAATGAAAAGCCTAAATTAAGACTTCCGATTTAAATTCCTTATAGAACTACAGACCACTTTTGAAGAAGCCTTTGTGCAGCCAAATCCATATAGACGGAACCTTTGAAAACTGTATCAGCAGACGAATACAGCTTTCCCTGAACACTAAATATTCATCTTATTGAGAGCATAAAATCACGAGGTGAGGCATGTGTTAGATTTATATGAAATCACATTTCTACTCAGCCTTTAATCATGAGAACTAAATGCTTTACTGAAAGGAGCATTTATCATAAAACTACCAAGATACATTAGTGCAGGTTACACACAAAAAACAATTTCAAATTTTTTTCAGAACTCTGAAAACGCATTTACCTGAAAAAAAAAAGTGTTTCCTTATTAATGCTCGAAATATTTCAATAATTGTTAGTTCAGAATAGTGTTAGGAAAAACCATTGCAGATATTCAAAAGTTAAATTAATTGCATAATTTAGAGTAAAAATAACATTGATTTTGTTCATTTTAATATTTTACACATAGTTAAACTCAATTTCGTTTGTTATAAACAGTTAAATTACTTTCCAAAGTAATTATATTCTGCATATAAATTATGTTGAGAATTTTAGCTGTCGTTTTAAAGTACGAAAAATCGTTACAATATACATCACTACAATCGTTACACATCACTTGTTAATGTTAATTTAAATGATATCACTTTCTTTTTCCAGTTCATTTTTAACATATTTCCAAAGTCTCCCACCTAGCTCAAGTCATTTTATATACGTCATATTTTTGAAAACATTTGAATAAGATATATTGAATTTATACTGGCACACATTCATAGCACTTCTTAGAAAAGGGCATTTAATAATAGAGAAAAAGGAAAGCATAGTACTAATGGGAAAATGTTCTTACAAAGATGAGTTTCGTAATTTCCAGGCAATTTTTATATCAAATAAGTGTACCCAAAATGAATTAGAAATACGCATTTTCTTTTACTTCCGTGCATAGGATCTCTGTGCTAATCTTGTTCAAATAAAAACATGCTTTAATTTCTTCTCTTAAATTCCGCCAAATACAAAACCATCTACTACACCAATCTACAATATTTGGAGCTTGGTATGTGTTTGTTTTGTAATGCGATTTTGTTCAATCTGCCGTTATCTGTATCAAGGTTTCCATTTTAGCAACACAAGACAACTACATGGTTCTAGATGTTCCACAACACTATTAGAATATTAATAGATAACATATTTATGACTTCTTCTAGAATGACCGTATTTAATTACATCTTCCCATAATTTATTGTCTCCTAACTTTTGTTTCTTTCAGGTTAGAGTGTTTGAAAGTTTAATTTTATTGGTCTTTCAGAACAAGAAAAATTTTCTGATCTAAATGTCTTGTCACGAATGGTGTCGCAGCTCTCAACGACTACCGCCACAAAACTATCTAGGTTAATCAAACACGTGAAGAATATAACACGTAGGAAAGTATGGCATTTCAAGGCTACCAGCAATACACGACAACAGGGCGTATAAAATGGCGTTTATGTATACAATATTTGCAGCCAAGAATTTGTAAGCAGAATCTGTCAGAGAGGTATTTTATCCTCAACAAAGATCACGCGACCCATCACAGAGCTGCACATATCATGCAGGCTTCACGTCATGGTAATGCTGTGGGAGGAAACCGTAATGCAAGTAATTTAGATGGCTGCATTGCATAGGAGAGTTACAGTGTTTCACGCATAGTAAAGTTTGATAATGCTGAATGTGATGTACATAAGCTGACGAATTTATGCTACTTTGTGTTCTAATTTACCATTTACTTTAAAAGCGGTTGTAAGACATTCCTTGTTCGATATTTTCGAGCCGTGGTTATTAAAGAATTTCATTTCTGTGCCAGAGTTAAGAATTCCTGTACAAA